GGGGGGAGGGCTCAGCCAGACCTTCCCCCCAAAATAGTACACACACCCCCCAGAACCCAATCCTACCCTGCAGCTGTCAGCCCAACACACCGCTCATCCTTAGGGTGTCTGCTCCAGGGTCCCACCTGGACCACAGGCTCAGCTGCATCTCCACCCTGCCATTGGGGGACCTTGCCAGTGCCCCAGCTCTTCTCGGGGAGACCTGCCCAGTCTCCAGCATTTCAGCCCAGGGGTCCATCAGTCGCCCCACTCACCCCACTCCCAACGCAGACGTCAGCCATCAAAGGGGCCTCAGGGGCTGCATGCTCACCCCCACCCCGGGGAGATGCCAGTGCCCGCAGCGAGTGATGCTGCAAGGCACAGAGGAGCCGAAGTCCACCCCCCGCCCCGGGTCTCTGGAGGCCTCCTGCCCTCACCTGGGAGATGTCCTGCCCGTCGATGCGGATACAGCCGCCCCGCACATCGTAGAAGCGGAAGAGCAGGCGGATGACAGTGCTCTTCCCCGAGCCTGAAGGTCCCACCTGCACGTGAAGGTGAAGGGATTTGGAGACACCAGAGGCCCCCTGGCTGCTGGAGGCCAGGGGCTGGGTAGGGAAGGGCCAGCCCCTCTGGGGGTCTGTCCTTCCCACCCCCATACTTCCCAGCCCCTCTTCCTCCATCCCACCCTCCAGCAGTGAACCCAAACCCGAGGTCCCGCTCTCACCAGGGCCAGGGTCTGCCCGGGCATCACAGAGAAGGAGATGTCCTGCAAGATTTCCTTCCTGGGAGAGGGAGATGGAGAGGGGCTCAGGGCCACTTCCGCTGCCCCACGTCCCCATGCCAGGCCCCGTAGCTGGACTCATCTCATCCCACCACCCTGTGCCCGCCATCCCATACCCATCCATGTAGCTGAAGTGCACGTTCTCAAACTCGATCCGGCCAGCCTCCAAGCGCAGATCACCAGCGTTCACTGCATCCTTCACCTGCCGTATGGTGAGATTGCAGCCTCAGAGCCAGCCCGTCCCCAGGGCAGGACCACGGGGCCGTGCCAAAGAACGGGGTCTGGGAAGGTGGCACCCACCTCCTGCTCCTCATGGAAGAGCTCGAACATGTTCTCCATGTCTATGAAAGAGTTCTGGATCATCCTGGAAGGGGGCAAAGACCAGAGGGAAGGTTTCGGAGGGGCACATCCCAACCCAGGTGCCTATGGAGAGGGGGTACCCAGGCACCCCCACAGCTCCCAGTGTTACCTGTAGTAAGTCCCAAACCAGTTGAGCGGCGTGTAGAGCTGGATGATGTAGGTGCCAAAGAGGACAAAGTCCCCCACCTGGAAGGGACAGGGGAGATGTGCCCATCACTGCCAGCCCCAAGTGCCCACCTCAGGCAGGGGCTGCCCAGGCTGGCACCAGCCTTACCTGCAGCTTGTTTTCAGTGACAAAGTAGGCACAGAGCAGGGACCCTGCCAGCAGCCCCAGGCCGATAACCAGGTTCTGGGTCTGGTTGAGGAGACCCAGCGAGGCGCTCACCTTCCACTCCGAGACCTGGAAGAAGCAAGGTCCTCTGAGACGCTGCCACCTCCCAACCAGATGCACGGTGAGCTCCATGCTCCCCGTAGGTGCCCATGAGGCTTAGTTCCTTCCCCCCGCCCTGACCCCTTGCTGGCGCTGAGCACCCTGTACCTGGTACTTCACGATGGCATCGTTAAAGCGGTTCACCTCGTAGCTCTCTGCGTTGTAGTACTTCACCTGCAGGATGAAAAGCCGGGGTCAGCGCCCTGATCAGCTCCCCCCCCGGCCCAGCGCCACCCAGTGTTCAGCTCCCCCCACCGCCTACGGTACCGTCTCGAAGTTGAGGAGCGAGTCTACGGCCCGGGACTTGGCCTCGTTGTCCCGCGTGTTCATGTCCCGCCGGTACTTGGTCCTCCACTCAGTGATGAAGATGGTGAGAGCTGTGGGCGGGAGGGGGCTGTGTCAGCAAGTGCCCACTGCCCCACAGCCCAGCACGGCACCCCCGCCGACCCCCCCACTCACTCAGGTAGAGGCTCATGCACACGAAGATGATGAGGCCAAACCAGGCGCTGAAGACCGAGGTGAAGTAAACGATGCCGATGACGATGTCCGCGATGGTGGGGACGATGCTGAAGACGATGTAACTGGGGGGTGGGAAAGGGGATGGCGCATCAGCCCGGCCCGGTGGGGCTGCCTGGCTACCCACCACCCGCCGCGGGCACGCTCTGACCTGAGCAGGCTGTTGATGCTGCTGGTGCCCCGGTCAACGCTGCGCAGGACCTCGCCGGTGCGACGCCCCAGGTGCCAGCGCAGGGACAGCCCGTGCAGGTGGGCGAAGAGCTGCACCTGCACCTGCCGGTTGGTGAACTGCTGCACCCACACCCACAGGAAGGTGCGCAGGTTGCTCACGAAGCCGGTGGAGCCTGCGGGGCACCACAGGATGGTCAGCGGGGACTGGTGCCACCGGAGCACACGGCCAGCTCAGAAAGCCCAGCCAGGCAAGAGGGATTGGGATGGGGTCCTCCCGCTGTCCCCAACCCGGGACCCAACGCTGCTTGATGCTGCTGAGAGAGAGCAGCAGTGATGGGGGCATAAGGGCATCTCTGGCCACCCCAGCACGATGTGGCCCACACTGTCTCTCCCCAGCGCTCCATCTTTCCCGATAGTCCTTACCAGCACCTCCACCCTGCAGGAACTTCAGCCCCACGTAGATGCAGACAGTCCAGGCCAGGGTGTGCCAAGGAGCACCCACCGTCAGCTCGTTCACTGGGAAGAGGGTGGCACAGGTCAAGGCAGAGGGACAGGGAGCATCACCAGGTGCCCCACAGGAACCAGCCCCAGCACCCAGCGCTGGTCCCTGACCTCCTGGACCCTCCTCCTGCCAGATCCCTGCAGCCCCCTAGGTCACTCATGACACCCCCCAGCACTTGGTGAAGCCATGGGCAGCCTCACCCGCCGAGCTCCAGGAACCTCACCAATGTTCTTGTAGTAGATGGGGACGAAGACGTTGATGGCCCTCTCCAGCCCCATGAGCGCCATGCAGAACAGCACCAGCCCCTGCAGCAGGTGGTTCCCCTTTGGCCACATGTATGGCACCAGCAGCCGCAGCTTCCTCCGGAAATCCTTCCAGGTAGAAGTGGTCCTGCCGGTGTCGGGCAAGAGCGGCTGGAGGAGAGCAGAGCGAGGAGTCACTGTCCCGGCACTCCAGCCCAGCTGGCAACAGCCCCGGAGAACATTCCATCAAGAAAACCAGCCCCGTCCTCCCAGGGTCCCCGCTCCATCCTCCCAGCGGGGCCGCATCCTGCTGACAGCACACAGGGAGCTTCAGCAGCCCCAAACCTCGCTCCTCCCTGCTTTCCTGAAGATGCCGATCCCAGGGCAGCTGTATTTCCATTTTGTCCCCAGCTCCTCCCCAGCCACGTCCCCCCCAAACTGCTCCAGCCCTGGGACTCACCTGGCTGTTCTCCACGTCCCGCTCCTCCTCGTTGACCAGCAGCATGTAGGGCTTGCGGGGCAGCCCCGGGGCCTTCATGCCCAGGATGAAGAGCATGAATGTGCAGATGTAACGCAGCAGCCAGAAGCCAAACTGCACCTGGACGGAGAGCAGGGGGTCAGCGCCACAGTCGGTGCCGGGCACGAGATGGACATGAGCTGAAAGAGGCAAGGAGCGGGGCAGGGGGATGGGGTGCAGTGCAGCCAGGGGAGAGGGGGACACCCCACGGAGCTCAGCAGGATCCCCTGGATGCGCACAGCACCTCAGGCAGCACCCAGACCCTTTCCTTCCTCCCTGCCATGTCTGGGTCTGTGCCCTCCAGCTTGGGGTGCCCCTACCCTGGGGGGACCAGGGGGGGTAAAGAGCTGTGGGGAGCAGGCAGACACCCCACGCCTCTGCACCTGAGGCTGAGCCAGGTAGAAGCGGAAGCTGAGCTGGATGGGGGCATGGAGAGATGTGCGATAGCTGGGCTCGGGGCTGAGACACGCGGCAGATGCGTGGGTGCAACCCGGGAGCACGCACACCCCGGGCATGGCAGGGCACGGCATGCACACGCCACCCCAGAATCACGATGCTGCAGCCCCCGCCACCCCCAGCAAAGGGCCCTGTCCCCCTTCCCTGCCCACAGCATCCCCAGCCCACCCTCTGGTT